ATTAAAGACTATGCCACCACATCCAGTGCTCCAAGGGAATCTGAAGCTCTCTTCTGGACTTGTGGGTATGTACACATACATTCAAAAAAAAAAAAAAAAGCACAGACATTTAAAAAGATTTTTTAAAAAACAAATCCTCCTAGGTTTTGCCAGCTGGGGTCCTTGCTCCCCCCCTGACCTTCTGTTGCTATTTTTGATATTGTTTCATGCAGCCCAGGCTGGCCTTGAACTCATGTAACCAAGGAAAACTGAACTCCCAATCTGCCTGCCTCTACTTCCCAAGTGCAGGTATTACAGATGTGCACCACCACACTGGGTTTTTTGCTATCCTGGTCAGGTGGTAACTTGTTCTCTCCCTGCTAAGGCTCTGGTCAAACTGAACTATGACATGTTCTGTCTCCAGGGTTCTATACAATGGTAGCTACTTCAAACTGGAATTCTTCTAGTCTGTGGCAAAGATTTTTTTTTCTACACCAAACTGAGATGTAGTGTGGTCTTTAAACCCTGGCACATGGCCAAGACTGTTGTTCCAATCTCATCCAGCTAGGTGGGCCCCTTCCAAGTGTCTCTGGGCCATTGCTAACAGTGGAGGTGGAAACTAGTAATTATTAGTACCGCTAGAGGGCCTCACACAGTACAGAAAGGCTTGCAGACTGACTACATTTCTTAGGGCCATCTGGAGAAGTTGCAAATTGCAGATAGACATCTAATAGACATTTACAGAACACTACAAAAGTGAGGAAGTCCTGAATTTTTTTTAGAAGCATAAATATTTATTTGTAACGAGTTTGTGTACAGTGTTGAAAATCTACAACTTCTTGTTAAATTCACATTTGCACTTCCCCTTTTTAAACAGACATTTATAATCATCATTTTATACAGATACAGATATGTAAATACAACATCGAGTTCAGTGGTCCTTCAGCATTTTCCACTTTTTTTTTTTTTTGGAACATACAAAACAGGTTATAATTCCAAAGTCCTGAATTCTTAAAGGACTGTATGGAGCAGAACCCCTTGCATCCACACCCCCTTTCACTATTCTGTTGCATTCATCTGTCGAGTAAGAAAAATGCAACTTGGGTAGGTTGGGAAATGGTGGGTGGGTAAAGTGTTTTTGCTGTATAAGCATAGTGACCTGAATTTGATCCCCAGAACCCATTTTTTAAAAAAAAGAAAGGCAAGTCGGTCCATGGTGGTGGTGGCGGCCATGGTGGCGGCACAGCACACCTTTAATCCCAGCACTCAGGAGGCAGAGGCAGGGGTATTTTTGTGAGTTTCAAGGCCAGCCTGGTCTACAGATCAAGTTCTAGGACAGGCTCCAAAGCTACACAGAAAAACCCTGCGGGGGAGGGGGGGGCACAAAGCAAGTCCAGGTGGTGGTGGCACACACCTTTAATCCCAGCACTCGGAAGCAGAAGCAGGTGGATCTCTGTGAGTTCAAGGCCAGCCTGGTCTACAGAGCAAGATCCAGGACAGAGCTATCTGGAGGGTGGCAAACAAACAAAAAAACCTGATGATTGGAAATGCCCAATTCTGGGGAGCCTGAGACGGGCAGATGTTATGCCCAGATCTCGGGGACCCCAAAAAGACCACCATGGAGACTGAATCCTGAATGTAAAAGCAAAGAGCCTTTATTATGTTCTAGCTCTGAGACTTGGTCTCTCTGACCGACAGAGTGGTAAGAGCAGAGAGCCCTGAGCTCAGGTGGTTTGGGGTCTTTATCGTAGCAGAGGTTGGGGTGAGGGGATTTCCAGGGTTCAGGATCCTGATTGGTTGACAACTGTCTAGGTGTATCTGTAAAACAAAAATAGGTGTGTGCTAGACTCCGGGACATCTGGCCACCTTATCTAATGGTTGCAATGTTTGGGATGTCAGGTATTTCCTCATCCCTGGGTGGATCCCTGGGTGGTATTAGCTTAAGGCTTTTCCTGGATCTGGGTGTTGCCTGCCAGTAAGCCTGTCACAGAAGCTGTGTCTAGGCCCCTAAGCCTGTCATGGCAGCTGTGTGGTCAAGCTGTTTTGGGTCCCCTCCACAGCAGATACCTGGGCCTTGCTGGTTAGCCAGCTTGGTCTGCTTGGCAAGCTTCAGGCCCGTAAGAGACCCTATCCCCAACAAATAAGGTGAATGGTTCTTGGGGAATGACAGCTGAAATGCTGTTGGCTTCCACACACATGCTCACACAAGTGCACACAAACAAAATGACTTGAGTGGGCATTCAGAGCACAAAAATTTGAGCATTGTTTCTGCATTTAACTTCTGCCTGAAACATTTAATCTTCTCACCTAGCATTCTCCAGGTAAGTTAGCAAAAAAGAAAAGATTTTTCTTAATTGTGTGTGTGTGTGTGTGTGTGTGTGTGTGTGTGTGTGTGTGTGTGTGTTATGTGCACATGTTTGCAGGTGTCCACAGAAGCCAAAGGAGGTTGTGAGATCCCCTGCAGCTGGAGTTCCAGGCTATTGTGAGCCCTCTACTGTGGGTACTGGGAACTGAACTCAAGTCCTCTGCCAGAGTAATGTGTGCCTCTGCACACTGAGCCTCCCTCCACCGAGCCCCTTTCTTCGTATTGAAATACTACTCCCTCCAAGTAGCCAGCTTCTCCAGTGGTGCATTTCAGTCTCACATGAGGCTGTTTCTGCTAAACTATAATTAATGACTTGATGTAAATTAATAATATCCTGTAGTTCCTCTGCTCAGCATTTGTTACAGCAGCAATTGCGAGAGTAATTGGCCAATTCATTGCTTAATGTTTTGTTACCCATCAGAATGTGATCCTTGAGACAGACCGTCTACTACTTTTAATAATACCTCCTCCACACCACTAATGCATTTCTTTAAAAAAAAAAAAAAAAATTATTCTGCAGGCCAGAAGAGGGTGCCAGGTCTCTCATTACAGATGTTTTTGAGTGACCACGGGGGTGCTGGGAATTGCACTCAGGACCTCTGGAAGAACAGCTAGTGCTCTTAACCACAGAGCCATCTCTCCAGCCACACTAATTTTTATTTTATGTGCATTGGTGTTTTGCCTGCATGTATCCCAGATCTTAGAATTACAAACAGCTGTGAGCTGCCACGTGGGTGCTGGGAACTGAACCCGGGTCCTCTGTTGGCGCCGTCAGTGCTCTTCACCACTGGGCCATCTCTCCAGCTCCCCACCAATGCATTTCTCAACAAGTATTTGTCCAGTGATTAAACTGAGAAACGATCTAGCAAAACAAAGGCTTTGAATTCTGAAGAGTACATGCATAGTTTTCTTAAACGTGATTTGGGCAGGCATCCAGAACCCTACCTAACACCTGTAAAGCACTTAATTACCACTTAATTACCAAGTACTTGCTAAGCACTTACAAGGTTTTCTGTGTAATCACATAGCCTAAAGGGCAGGTTCCCTCAGGGCTCCAATTGTCCAGTGAGGCAACTCAACTGTCAGAGAGGTTAGGAAATTTGTACAGGGTTATGTTGATTACAAATGGAGGTATTCATGACCTGGGCTTTGTTTACAGACTTTATGGGCTTAACCCCTTGTTATTGCCCCACATCTTGCCACTAATACTGTTCTGTATTATTATTCACTTGTATCTGCCTTCGAAGCAGAAGAGAAATGTCACAGTAGTTTACATTAAAAAAAAAAACAAACCAAAAAACCTTGATGTTTGAATGCAACTAGGACAAATTCAAATATTTTATCTTCCATTTTTGTTTCATATGCACAGTTATCAAGTTATTTTCTTTTCTTCTTCTTTTATGGTTTTTCGAGACAGGGTTTCTCTGTGTAGCTTTGGAGCCTGTCCTGGATGTCGCTCTGTAGACCAGCCTGGCCTTGAACTCACAGAAACCTGCCTGCCTGGCTTCCCTTGTACTCAGATTAAAGGCATGTGCCACCACCGCCTGGTTCAAGTTATTTTCTTACTGGCCTATAGGCAAGTTGATTTTACTCCATATAGACAATTTTCTTTACACCTCTCTCACTCAAGAAAAAAGAAGCCAGGCGATGGTGGCCAGCCTGGTCTACAGAGTGAGTTCCAGGACAGGCACCAAAACAACACAGAGAAACCCTGTCTCGAAAAACCAAGTAATAATAATAATACCAACAATAATAAAATAAATAAATAATAAATAAATAAATAAATAAAGAAAGAAAGAAAGAAAGAAAGAAAGAAAGAAAGAAAGAAAGAAAGAAAGAAAGAAAGAAGTTGTTTCAATAGCATAGTGGCCAGAGGTTTTAGAACGTGATCCTGTTCATCAATGCCCATTATATCCCCGAAGGCCAGTATTCTGCAAGTACCTCCCCTCAGGTAAGGAGGTTTATGGCCTTTATCCAGTCTTTTTCTTCTTTCCTTTGTTTTTTGATTCGGGATTTCTTCCCATATCCTGGCTGTCCTGGAACTCACCATGTACACCAGGCTGGCCTCCAGCTCTCAGAGATTCACCCCCCTCTGCCTCTGAGTGGCGGGACCAAAGGCATGCGCCACCACGCCCCTCTGAATCCTGTGTTTTTCACAGGGTCAAACTAAATAGAAGCCAATGGCTTCCGGTGAACCCCTGGAAAGCTTCTTTTTATTTCTTTGTGGAACAGATTGCCTCCACACGTCAGAGCGTGATAGCAGCTCGCTATCTAGCATTTATTCTTACAACGTCGTGGCGCTCCCTACTGCCCCCTTTTGTCGCGCCTGGGAACCACGGTTCATAGTTCTACAACAAGGAAATAAACAAGCCTCCAAAGACTACAATTCCCAGAGAGCCTCGCTGCAGGCGACGCCGACGCGCCGTAGCGGTTAGTCATCCTTCCCGAGGCCTCCTTTCACTTCCGGGACTCGGAACCCGAGGCTTCGCGGGCGCGCGCCTAGACGGGCTTACCTAACCCATAAGGCCCCGGGGCGCGCGGCCCCGAAGACGCGCGCGGTCACGTGAACGGGGGGTGGGGGTGCAGGGGGCGTGTTTTTCTGCCTCGCGCGCTCCCGTGCGCGTCCCCGGGCGGCGGGGCGGGGTGGGGGGGGCCGCTTTCGGGCGTAGGAGCCGGTGAGGAGCCGGATCCTCAGACGACGCGGCGGACGGGCCGGTGGTGTCCCCGGGGCCGCGAGGCCGGAAGGCGAGGAGGGCGGGGCCGGCCGTGGGGCCGCGGCGACGCCACACCGAGGAGCGAGCGAGCGAGCGCCGGGGCCTGCGGGGAGCGATGCTGTGGTTCCAAGGCGCCATCCCGGCGGCCATCGCGTCTGCCAAGAGGAGCGGCGCCGTCTTCGTGGTGTTCGTGGCAGGTGAGTGGGCAGCGGGCCCGGGAGGCACCGAGAGAGCGCTTCTGGGTTGTTCTGGGTGCTCGTTAGCGTCGGGCCCTCCGGGTGGGAGGACCCGCGGGGCGGCTGGGCTCGGGCTGCCTCACCCGGTCGCCAGGTCGGCTCGGGTCCGCTCGGCTCCGATCGGGACCTGGGGCGGGGGCAGGTTATGTTGCTTGGTTCCGGGCTTGCTCCGGTCTTCGGGCGGAAGGCTGGGGCTCCTCTGGCTCTGTTTGGGCCGCCGCCGTGACCCCCCACCCCCACCCCGCTTCTGTGTGGGAAGCGCAGTCCAGGCCCTGTCCCCAGACACCGAGCCCTGCAGGCCCTGGCAGTCGGGTTGTCTGTCGCAGGCAGACCCCCGAGACCCCCCACCCTGGTGCCCCCTCGGTCCTGTGGGGTCCCCTGCCCAGGGAGCTTGGACGTCCTTTTAAGTCTTGGTGTTCAGGCGGGATTGGGACCGGCCACTAGGCAGACAGTTGGGTCTCGTTAGTTGTAAGCTGTCAAGAAAGCTGTGTCATCGGTAAGCCACAAAGAAACCACCTGATGTCCACAGTAGCTGCCTTAGAATGTTTCTGAAACATAAACTTAAGCTTCCCAGAGGCGTAATCTTTTATAATAGCGCCAGGAGGGGAATCTAAGATGCAATCACTGCTTTATTACAAGTTTATATATACCAATTACACACTTTTAACAGTTTTAAAAGTACATATTCAATCGTGATTCTTACTCCCTTCCAACATCAAGTCGTTTTCCAGACATATGCTAACTCATTTACCCAATGTCTCTAGATTATTTTGTTCCATAATCTGTTTTATTGCTGAAGTCTTGTATATTTGCAGTCAACCAGCTGCTTCTTGTAGTTTTCTACGTTCTTCTTACACGGACCAGTTTGTGTGACAACTGTTAATTTCAAGTGTATTTTTTTTTTTTATTTTATGTTCACTGGTGTTTTGCCTGCATGCATGTCTGTGGGACTGTGTCAAAAGTCCTGGAACTGGAGTTTAGACATGTTGAGCTGCCATGTGGGTGCTGGGAATTGAACCGGGCCCTCTGGAAGAGCAGCCTGTGGTGCTTGCTCTGAACTGCTGAGGCATCTCTCCAGCTCCTGAAGTGTATTTCTTCACCTACTTTTGTTTAGTAACATTTTACTCGTAGTTGACCCACATCTCTTAGTCGTTCTATAACTTTGTCCATTTCTGTGAAGAAAAATGACTGAAATACGCATTTGATTCAGCCTTAAAATGTAAATGTCTGATTGTTTTGTTATGCTGAATTTTTAGCTTGGTACTTGCTGTTAATTAGAGCATAAATCCTTTAGAGTCTATTGGATTGGTATTATACTTTAAATATGTAAGTCTTGTAAACCAGTAAGGACAGTAGCACATAAGAATGAAAGAATATGACACTATAGCATGAGGTCAATAGGTTTATGAGATTTTAATATGATTGTAAGCCATTACATGGGTTTGGGAATTGAACCCAGGTTCTCTTGAAGAGTGACTAGTGCTTCTAACCACTGAGCTATCTCTCCAGCCCTAGTTTATAACATTGGTTTTTCAAGACAGGGTATCTCTGTGTAGTTTTTGGTGCCTGTCCTGGATCTTACTTTGTAGACCAGGCTGGCCTTGAACTCACAGAGATCCGCCAGCCTTTGCCTCCCGAGTGCTGCGATTAAAGGTGTGCGCCACCACTGCCCAGCGGCGGCGGCATCCATGTTTTTTAACAATATGCGATTGATGATAGTTAAACATTCCTAAAAAGTACAAAGGTAGCAGTTAACTTAAAAGAAAAAACTTCCCCTTCATGGGTAAGTCTAAACCTGGGGCTTCATTCATGCCAAGTAATTGCTCTGCCAATAAACTACATCCCTAGTCTAAATTGCTAGATTTGATTAATAAATATTGGAAAGCTGTAGAAATACTTGAAGTCTTACACTTTTATAGCGCTTTGCATAAATCCATACTCCTCAGTTAACTTTACTGGGATTTGCTGGTAATAGATATATTTAGACTATCAGCAGCTATTGAATGTTTGCAGAAATACTGTTAAGAATGGACAGACTACAGTAGAGTCTGTCCCGTAACCTCTTCCAAAATACAGTTAGTTTTTCTAGAGTTTTAGCTAGGTCGTCCCAACACAAAGTAGGATGAATGTTGCTCTAAGAATGTGTAGACACTGGGATCATAGAGCAGCGACACTCTGGTAGCACCTAACAGGTAGGTCCCATCTTTTGACACTGTGACATGACACAGCTGTCTACAGAGTTCACACCTTAGAACCTCAGAATCAAGTTATGCCGTCACCACCCGAATCCCAGCCAAGTCACACAAATAGTCCTCAAGATATTTTATGTTGTACCATGGACATAGTTATTCTCTTTTTTTAAAAGAATATATTTTATGTTTTCTGCATGTATGTCTGTGTGAGTGTGTTAGATCTTGGACATACAGACAGTTGTGAGCTGCCATGTGGGTGCCAGGAATTGAACCCAAGTCCTCTGGAAGAGCAGTCAGTGTTCTTAACCACTGAGCCATCTCTCCAGCCCCCCATAGCTATTCTCTTATGCTTTGACTCAAGGACACAGGCTATACATGCCTGGGCCCTAGAGCTTTGTTCATAACTTGAAGAACACATTCAGAACTTACAGTTTTCTTGATCTGAGATCCCATTAGTAATACACCAACCTTTAAAAAAATTCAACTTCTTAAAAAATGAAAAGGATAGCTATAGCGAGAGGAAGAGGTTTCAAGAGTGTTCAAAGAATTATTCACAGCCTAGAGCCTGGGAGGTAGAGGCAAGGGGATTAAACACACACACACACACACACACACACACACACACACACACACACACGACGTACAGGGCTGGAGAGATGGCACAGTGGTTAGGAGCGTCTACTGCTTTTGCAGAGGACATGTGGCAGCTCACAGCCATCTCCAACTCCAGGTCTAGGGGATTTAAGGCATCTTCTGACCTCCACAGCCTCCTGCACATATGTGACACACACACAGACACATAAAGGACATTTCTCTGTCTCAACAGTCCTGGCTGTCCTGGATCTCACTCTATAGACCAGGCTGGCCTCAAACTCACAGAGATCCTCCTGCCTCTGCCTCCCCAGTGCTGGGATCACCACCACCCGGCCAAGTATATATTTTTTTAAAAATTATTCCAGGAAAATGTTTTAGGCAAGTTTCTATTTCATGAAATTGTTTCCTTTTTCAGAGGCTAGGTCTTGCTATTGCCCAGGCTGCCCTCCAACTCCTGGACTTAGTAATCCCCCTAGCGTCAGCCTCCCAAGTACCTAAGACTTCAGGCATGGGCTACTACATCTGGTGTTGTTTAATATAATTTTCATGAATTAGGTGATTCATTTAATACTTAAATAAAAATTAAATAATTGTAGAGTTGTGTTAGAAACTAGAAATACTTCAACCAAATTAACAAGAATTTCCAGTTTTAGCTGTTTGAACTGAAAGATATAAAGACAGTTGTGCCATAGTACAAAATCTGATGAGGAGGCAGAAGCAAAGATGTCTGTCTAGTCCGTGATGTCATTAGGCCGGCTGAAAATTGTCATGTCCGGTACTGTTGGCTGCCCTCTTTGACTGACACAGACCACAAAGCCTGTGCGGTTGGAGCAGTTGAGATTCCTTAGGTTGGATGGTGAGGCTGGAAGAAGGCAGCTGTCTGTGCTTCAGAGTTTGTTTGCACACTTTTAAGTGTCCTCACTTTGAATATTGCTGCTACCTCCAAGTAGAGCATATGTTCTCCTAAAATCTTAGGGTCATCTAATTTTATAATGTGGTTGATAATTTGATTAAAAATAAGCCTCTAAAGATACTGACAATGGCAACTCGTGTTCTAGTGGAACTTAGTAAGTATTAAGAAGCCTCTCATCGAGGATTTCCCTCAGCTACTGCTGCCATCACAAGGCTGAGTTAGGAACAGACAGTGTCAGAGGGAATGTGACATTGAGACACTAACCTAGCCAGTCAGTATGGGTGGGGAATGAAAGACAGCAACTTTATAAAGAAAAAGAAAAACCAAAATGTAGTCTCCTCCTTAGGATTGGCTCAAGCTTAAATATGTTTATTGCCTTCATTTGTTATTCTCCCCCAGGGTTTCTAGCTAAATGTCACCATTGTACATTCTGTTAGATAATCCACGCTGTGGGTAGCCTGCATTAACTTTTCAGTTCCATTGCCTCGTGTTCTCCATTGTTTATTATTTTCCCAGCTACACAGACCTTTCTCTGTACGTGTATTCTTTCTGCATGGTGAACTTTTCTGTACTTAGTGTGGCTCATTCTTTCTTTGGTCCACCTTAATTGTCAACTTAGAGATGGGTATGATGATGCATGTCTTTAATCCCAGCACTTGGGAGTTGAAGGCCAGCCTGGTCTACATAGTGAGATCCACGACATCCAGGGCCATGTAGAGAGACCCTGTCATCTCAGAGAACGCTTCTCTGATCATGATAAAGAGATTTTCTTTATTTGTATGTGTGCTCACATTCTGGGAATCAAACTCAGATCTTCTTGTTACTAACTGAGCTGTCTTCCCAAACCCAAACACTCTCATTCATAGCAATTACTGCTTTAAGTGTTCGCAGTTGTCTACTTGTTTGGATAAATAATATAAATACAAACATATAAAATACATATTAGACTTTAAGCTGTGCTGAGAACAGTGTTTATTTTATATCTAGTACACAAGCCCAATGCCTATGAACTGAACAAATGAACGGAAGTAGAATAAAATAGTGAGTGAATGAAAGACTGCATCACACTTCTCACTCTTTACTGCCTCCTTAAAGTGTCTGAATAAAGAATGTTCCTAAATAGCTATTTTCTAGGTTCATAGCAGAGTCATTTGCTTGGGAATTTATTATTTCTTTCAACTCCATTGTCTCTGGAAACATTTTCATTTGGAATGCTCTCATTTACAAATATCAACTTTCCTTTATTCTTGGTTGTAACTTCCATGAGCCTGTTAAAAAGGGTATTTTTAATTGGTTTCAATCTGTCCCATTTTCATGTCCAAATTTTTCATGGCTCTTATCTCATTCAGATGTGTAGTTAAGTATTGTAGGCATGCCTGTATGCTTACTGTACTAGACATTTAAATGTTTATTCCAGTAAACACTGAACACCTGCTTTATGCCTAGATGCAAGTTCTGTTGTAGGGATTTCCATCTTTTTTTGGTTTTTCAAGACAGGGTTTCTCTGTATAGTTTTGGAGCCTGTCCTGGATCTCACTCTGTAGACCAGGCTGGGCCTAAACTCAACTCACAGAGATCTGCCTGGCTCTGCCTCCTGAGTGCTGGAATTGAAGGCGTGTGCCACCACCACCTGGTGAGATTTCCATCTTAAGATAACATGAAAAACTGTCTTTGCCCTCCTAGAATCTTTTCTATTTGGGAGAGAAAGACAGTAAACAATAAAGATAATTAAGATACATAGTGTATTAGAAAGTGGGTAACCAGTGATGGTTTTTATGTCCAAGTTTTTTTTATAGTAAAGTTAATTTTTAAAACCTTTTTAATGTTAAGTGGTGCTGGAGAGATGGTTCAGTGGTTAGGAGCACTTGCTGCTCTTATCGAGGCCCCAAGTTCAGTTCTCAGAAGCTACATGACCACCAATTGCTGTGTAAGAACAGACACCCTAGTGGGAGTGAACAAGCCAAGAGCATTTGTTCTTTCACAGGACTCAGGTTCAGCTCCCAGCATAGCATGGCAGCTTAACTCCATAATTCCAATTCCAGCACATCTGATGCCCTCTTCTGGCCTCCCACCCCAAAAAAGACTCAGCGGGGAAGAACCGTTTAGGCTGCTGTAATTGTGTGGGTGACCTCTGCTAACTTTGCTCAAGGTGGTAGCAGTGGAAGTTATAAGTAGTGGTTACATTTGTATTTTTAAGTAGCCAGCTGAAGTTATAGATAAATTTTTTGGGGCGCATTTGTGTGTTTGCTCTGCTGGGAATCAAACCAAGGGCGTTGTGCGTTCAAGACAAGCACTTTACCACAGCCAAGCTTCAGAAGGATCAGTTTTCAAGTTTGATGAAGTTAAGAGAGGACTTGCTAAACTAGGTGTGGCTGAGCACGCCTTTAATCCTAGCACTTGGGAGGCAGAAACAGTGAGCTCCAGGACCACATACAGACTGTCTCAGGGGGGAGACAAAAAAAAGGAGAGAAGGAGAAACACATTTGCTGCTCTTACTGACAACTGGTTTTGTTCCCAGCACTCACATGGCAGCTCACAATTGTCTGTGTCTCCATTTCCAGGGGTTCCAAAACCATCTTCTGGCCTCCTTAGGCATTCATTACACACTGTGATGCTCTTAGGTGTATGCAAGGCAGAGTGCTTATACACATAAAATAAAAAATAAAATTTGGAAGAAAAATATTTGTGGGTTATATTTTATTTGGAGTTCTAGTTTCACAGGGGAAAGAATTTAGAATTAGCAGTCCTAGCCTTGGCATTTCTAAGAGTTCTTGAAATGTTCTCTCAGGTGACGATGAGCAGTCCACACAGATGGCCGCCAGCTGGGAAGATGAGAAAGTGACAGCAGCGTCTGCAAACAATTTCGTTGCGATTAAAATCGACACCAAAAGGTACGCTTATGCTTTAATGTTTCGTTACTGTTTTATTTTGTAATAATGGTCTGTTATTATGAGGATACTCTTAGACTATTAAGAATGTTAATTTTATGAGTACACATATCTATGGTATAGACAAATTTCTAAGCAGTCTTGCTAAATAAAAAACATGGACCCAAATATAGGGGTGAAAGCCTTAGAGATCAGGGAAATAGGAATAGCCACCAGCTAACCTTACGTCACCACGCGCCCGCAGCTTCCAAATGTGAACTACTTCCTGTCTACCCATGCCTTTATTGCCTTGCTGTTCTGCCCTCTCATTGGCTCTTACCTCACTTCCTTGTCGCTGTCTGTGCAGACCTCCAGGTCTCTATGGTTGGTACTGGGATTAAAGGCATGTGTCACCACGCTTCCCTAGTATGGCCTTGAACACAGACCCTGCCAAGTGATTGGAATAAGAGCATGTGTTACTACTGCCTGACTTTGGTGTTTACTTAAAATGGCTTGCTATTCCCCCTGATCTCCAGGCAAACTTTATTTATTAACATACAAATAAAATATCACCACACTAAGGCACTAAGATATATTGGGAACTTAAAATATTTTTTTATTGCTTTTGAGTATACCACTGCACCCAGTTATGGGAATTTAAATTATTTTGTTATGATTACTATTTAAACTTTATTATAAAGAAGTTATAAGTCAAAATTAATATTTTCACGGCAATTAATATTTTCTGGTTACCATTTTCAAATTCATTATTACACCTTGATTTTTTAAAAAATTAATTTCTCTTGTCCACCTCACATCCATGTAGCATGTAACAAAAAGTATGATTGGGGGGCTATCAGAACAGCTCAGCGGGTAAAGGCACTTGTCACCAAGCCTGACAGCCTGAGTTCAGTCCCCAGGTCACACATGGTGGGAAGAGAGAGACAATTTCTACAAGTTGTCCTCTGACTTCTACGGTGTGCACATGTCTGCCTACATATGCACATGCATATATATTACATAAATAAACGAATGTGAAAAAAATTACTGTCTGAAAAAGATTTGTAGTGTCTAGGTTGGAAGAACCTGGAAGTGACTATAAAGATTAGGTTGAATCTGCAACAAGTGCTTTTCCATATCTTTTGGACTCCTTTTGGGAATGGAGCCATTTAATTTCAAAGGAATGAGGAGGGTGAGATAGCATACTGAATAAAGTCACTTGCCACCAAGCCTGGTGACCCAGGTTTGATTCCCCAGAACGCACATGCTGGAAGTAGAGAACCAACTCTTATAATTATCCTCTGATTTCCACATATGCACCATGGGGTGTATGCACTCATGAGTGTGTGCACACACACGAAGAAATAAGTCAAAGAGAATAAAGACATTTATAGGACCTCATAGTTCCTGTTAAACAGACTTTTGTTTTATTCTCTGTCGTCCTTTTTATTGGGGTGTGTGTGTGTGTGTTTTGAGACGGAACTTGTGTTACCCAAATTGGCCTCAAACTTGCTATGTAGCTAAGGCTGACCTTGAGTTACTGACCCTCCTGCTTCTACCTCCTAAGTGTTGAGGTTATGCATGTGCGTCACCATACCTGCCATTTTACTTGGCTACAGTGGCTTACAAAGTTGTATAAGGTGGGCTTGAACTCATTCAGTAAGTAGCCTAAGCTAGTCTAGAACTTGTTCTCCTGTCTCATCCTCCCAGCTGATTTGGATTTTAGATTTCAGCCTGGCAATACTTTTCAGACTGTAAGATCTTTAATTTATTAACTGTTACAAATGTCTTTTCAATATTCATCTCAAAATAGATAACATGCTTGGAAAAACATTGTTAAGATAAAAAGGTTCAGGGGGCCGAAGAAATGGTCCAGTTAAGCACGCTGGCTACTCTTCTGAGGGTACCTAGGTTCAATTAACAGCACCCATACAGAGGCTCAAAACTACTGTAATTCCAGTTCCAGGGATTACAAAAAAAAAAATTCAATACCCACTTCTGGCCTCTGTGGACATCAGACACACATGTAGTGCACATACACACACATTAAATACATGAATGTTCAGAAATTTACCTGTAAGCTCATAAAACTTTCACTTACATTGTTTCATATTAACAAAAGTAGCATAAAGCAAACCTGTTTTATATTACTGAACTATATAGCTTATGTTTTACTTTGTTTATTTTTATTCATGTGTGTGTGTAGGTGCCTGCCGGAGCCTACGTGTATGTATGTGTGTATGTATGTATGTATGTATGTATGTATGTATGTATGTATGTCCCAGGTGCATGCAGTGTCTCTGCAGACCAGCAATGGGTCTCGGTTCCTCTGAAAGTAAAGTTGTAGGTATTTGTGAGGCACCTGATGTGGGTACTGCCGTCTGACTAGAATCTCCTGGAAGAGCAGCAAGCTCTCTTAATTGCTGAACCATCTCTCCAACATGTTGTTTTGGGTTTATAGCAGTACTTGGGAATTATGAGGTTACTGGCTTTGTTCAGTATCTAATTAACTACTCTGAAAAGTCTCTCTTACTCCCGACTGTGTGTGTAAGCGGCATTCATGTGTTTTGCTAGTGGTTGAATTGAGGGATGATACATGCTAGGCATGTGCTTTACTGTTACCTGAGCCCTCTCTCCTATCCTGACCACCGGGCTCTTTACTGGTGCTAAGTAAATGATTAAAATACAGT